TAGTAATTTTTAACATTTTATAAAAACCATTGCAAATGTTAAAAATGGTTAGGGAAATTCATCTGATTTTTTTGAAAAAAGACAGGGAAAAGTCAGGGAAAATTTTTATAAATATGTGGCTACGAACCCTGTAATAGATATGTTAATAACATTAAACGAGCGAATGCATTAGAATGTGTTAATGAATGAAACAAAATATAAACACCTTAGTGAGCGAGCGAATAAAATTTGCACAACTATTTAAAATTTTTCCAAATTTCTAATTTCAAGTTAAAGATTATTTGAATTAGACTAAAATTTTCTTGCCCATACTTTTCAAAAAAAAAACGAAAAAACTTGCATACTCTATAAAAAATGATCAATCATGATATCGCTATAAAAATGGTATGTGTTTATATATTATACTCGAAATTTTTTGTAAAAATAATTCTTAGTTAAAAGCTTTTTGTGTGTTAACAACATAAAAAAAAAATATTTCTTTCGCTAACTGTAAAGTAAACGTCTTAGCGTTTTATTTGACTTAACTGTAGTAACTTAACCGGTTACCGGGTGATTTGATTTAGTTTTTAGATAAAATTTACTGTGATGTACTTAATCCATAAAGTAAATTACACTATTTAATTTTAAAATAGAAGTAGGATATTAAATCACGCAGAGATTTAAAGTAATTAAAATTCAAAAGCGCTTTATGTTGAATGAGAATCTCCGCACAAGAGAGAAAATGAAAATACTTTTAAATTAAAGTTGAAATTAGCGGATCCAGGGGTGATGGGAGTATGCCCCCTCCTTCCCACGAGAATCTGAAAGTCCAAAAAATATCATAGAAATTGACGACCTTTTTTTTTACGATACGAAAATGTTTTATAAAATACAAGTTTATTTCAACATCAACCAAAAGTTTCTGGATCTGTCACTGTGCATAGGAACACGCTCTTAAACCTTACAAGACAATTTAAAAAGTTAGACTCGGTATCGTTGGCTTCATTTTTTGGAAACTTTTGAAATTAGTGCAATTTTTGTTTCTTTTTCTGTTTTTCCAACAACAAATGTTAACTTAATTTGCATTTTGAACGTTTTTATTATAAGCATTCGAACTTTAAATGTTTTCAAATGAGAGCATTCATTTGAATGTTTTCAAATGAGAGCATTCATTTGAATGTTTGTATATCGAAACGTTGAACTATAATTTTTTAATGCTTCTTATTGTTATTTTTATTAGTATTATTATGTTGTTATTATTAGAGTATTATTAGACTTTTCTACAATAGAAGTTTGATTTTTATGTGCCGAGTGTCTGACTTCTATGACCCGGCTATATTAGACCGACTAGGGAGTCCATTTGTTATGAATGTTTTTAACCTCGTTGAACAAATTAGCAGCAATGGCCGAAACAGGCAAAGAATTCAATGTTAGCACTAATTGATTTTTAAAGAAGTCTTTGGCTATTTCGGTAAATTCTCGGTTTGTAAAAAAGTCTTTGACTGATTTGGCAACTTCTCGTTCAATTTAATGCTTTGCACTACGAAGACTACCTTCAGTACCATCTTATGTAAAAGAATTCGCTTCTCTTTATTTTCGATGCGAGTTAAATTTGTTGAATTTTTATAAAATTTAAAAATTGAATTAGATTACCCTCTAATTTACGTTCAGCTAATAAGCTGAGACCAAGATTTGTCAGACGTGATTTGTAGTTCAAGTTACGCAATTGCGAAACAAGATTGGTTGCTCTACGTTAAACTGATTCTAACTTTTAAGCGTCTTTTAGTAAGGAAGGGCCCCAAACTGGTGCACAGTACTTTAATATCATGAAGCTTTATACACATACGTTGTATAAAACTTCATGAACATACTATTTTTTAAAAAAAATTTAAATTCTATTTTTTAAAAGTTCTTTTGAGTATCCCATGTTCAAAACATGCTTTAAGAGTAGCTTGACTAATCTGTTTTGACCATATGAGTTTATTATTAAGATAACCAATGTTCTCTCAACAGATACAGCTTTACAAGAAATGCGACTACCATTTACGTCGAATATTGTCATGGGGATGTCAAATTCTGAGGAACCAACTTGAAACTTAAGACCTTTGCATTTGTTTATACTAAATTTCATGCGTCAAAATCTTGATCAATCACATGAGATTTGAATGTCCTCCTGAATCCATAACTGGCTTTGTTTTGGCAACCGATTGGCTATCATAGGCAAATAAGTTTGCAAGTTATCTTAACTAGTTCTGGCATATCATTTATGAAGAGCAAAAATATTAGAGATCCTATCACTGATCCTTGAATAACACCATTCAAGATATACATCCATTCAAAGAAAAATTGTTAAAAAAACACGCTGTTTTCTATAGTCAAGAAAGTTCCTGGGCCGATCAAGAATTTTATTGCAAAAATCGTAGCCAGCGAACTTAATATAAAGCAAAGCATGTGACATATGATCAAAAACTCTAGCGAAGTCTACCAAAGTAAAAAAGCGGCACATTCATCGCTTATATCTTGAGTAAAATTATTCAGCATTTCAAGAAGATTTGTAAAGCACATTCTAGATGTTACAAAACATGTTGATGTCAAGATAACAAATTATGTTTTATTAGATGATTAACATTATTTACATCACGCATTATTCTTTCCATTATTTTTCCAACATATATATATATATATAATAAATATATATATATATATATATATATATATATATATATATATATATATATATATATATATTTATATACATATATATATATATATTTATATACATATATATATATATATATATATATATATATATATATATATATATATATATATATATATATATATATATATATATGTATATATATATATATATATGTATATATATTTATATATATATATATATATATATATATATATATATATATATATACATATATATGTATATATATTTATATATTTATATACATATATATATATATATATATTTATATACATATATATATATATGTATAGATATATGTATATATATATAAATATATATATATATATATATATATATATATATGTATAGATATATGTATATATATATATATATATATATATATATATATATATATATATATATATGTATATATATATATATATATATATATATATATATATATATATATATATATATATATATATATATATATATATATATATATATATATATATATATATATATATATATATATATATATATATATATATATATATATATATATATATATATATATATATATATATATATATATATATATATATATATATATATATTCTACGGCAAACTGCACTTTGGTTAGCCCATATTCATGGGTTTTGCCATACCATTATTTAACGTCATCTGAATCAGCTTGGTTATTGTTTAAATAAGGTATTTGATTCCTCATCATTTCAAAATCAGCGTTTAAACATATTTACTTTTTTTCTTTCCGAAAAGCGTACTATGAGTTGATTGGCTAATATTATTACGAGTGATATGAATTGGGCCCTCTATGTTCATCTCATTATTATTTTTTTGGATTACCTTCATCTAAGAAAAATGTATTCAGTGTGGTGAGACGAATTTTTTCAGGATTTTTTCTATTTCTTTGACAACGCTTGTCCAGTTAGGTTTGTAAATTTACCAACTTTTTCATTTACCAGTTATTCTGTCAATTAATTTGGTCAAAATTGAAATACCGTTAAATTTTTGAATATAAATAAAATATTATAGGTAAGCGAATCCGTACCAATTTTATTAAATACCTTTTTTTTAAATAACTTCTTAAAAAGCTAAAATTATTTATTATTGTTAAAACTATTTAATATTTTATGTCCTAACTGATATCTAATTTAGTGCACAATAGCCTAGCTCCTGAAAATACTCTTTCAGATTCAATGCTTGTCAGACAAATGTTTATCAAACAATCGAAAACTATTTGAATTTACTTTCTTTGTATATTTTTTGTCGAAAATACTCTAACTACTTTTTTATTGCTTCAGATTTTTAGTTTTTGTTTCTAAAAAACTGACATTCCTCGAGCCATGTCTGTTTTTTTGTTTAATAAGACTATGAAGTGTTTCCTCCATAGAAAAGACTATGAAGTGTTACCTCTATAGAAAAATCAGTATTTGGTTAAATAATAATAATTAGATTACTCAAATCCAAATCGGATTTATTCATATGTGTTCTCAAAAATTAAATTGAAGTATTGTATTCTTATATAACTTATATAATACATAATAACTATACCTTATATAATTTAAAATAATAATAATAAATAATATATGATAACTATACAATATATAATTTACATTTTTTCAAGTATACTTAATTTGAATCTAAATCGATATTGATATTATAAACCTAAATTTCGCTGACAGTTTTTAAATTTTATAAAACAAATGGTTTACATTTAATAGTTTTGTATCGTGTATCCAAAATCTCAACTTGACATTGATATTCCCTAATCAACATCTGTAAATTTAAGGTAGATTGATAATTTTAAAAGTGAGTGATTTTCAAAAAGTTTAAAACCTGTTGAATTTAGAAATTAACTAAGAACGTTTAAAATTATTTAAAGAAAAAATAAAAAATGATAAAAAAAGGAGATAAAATAAAAATGTTTTTTAAGGTAGACGGTTAAAATTATTATATACAAACTTTTTTTGTTTAGTTTCTGAATAAAACTCAAGTTGCCCGATAACAAAAACATTTTGATTAAAAAGTTCTAAGCCAAAAAATTATAGCTCTCTGTGTAATATTACGAATTCTTTCTTGCAATAATATATATTTTTATTATTTAAAAATTGAACGTTAAAAATAATTCCGCCGATTTTTTAAATCTTGAAAAGAAGTGAGGTATAAAAATAATTTCTAGGGGTTACTTTCCAGGGGGTTACTTTTATCATTTGATAAATAATAAGAGTTGTTTAAGTATAATTAGCAGAGTAAATTTTTTTCTTCCACATTTTCCATGTTCAGCTTCACTTTTTAGATTGGCCTACCTTACCATCTTACTAAATCAGTTTATGAAAGTGTTTTACAGAATCTATTTGGAGGAAATTATAAAAATAAAGAGAAAAGACGTTCTATTGGACTTATTTTGTTTACTAACAAACAAGATACGTCCGCAATATTTTCATTGATACAAGAACACAATTTGAAAAATAATCTGGCTATAATATGTATTTACGGATGTACCAACTATGTTGAGATTACTCAGGGCAAAGAAGCCGCTCTAAATGGAACTTTAAGTTTAGATATTGCCTATGACAGAGTACAAGGATTTGAGAATTATTATTTAAATTTAAACCCATATGATGATCCTGATCCGGAGCTAAAATCTGTTTGGGAGAATATATTCAATTGTTCATTGTCTGCTAACAATGCATCCAAAAATTTATGTACAGGTAAAATGTTTTTATATTCTTATAATCAAAATGTTGAGAAGGTTTAAAACTTATAAGTTTTACAACAGTGGTATGTTGCAATATTATATAATTTTAAGAGCTAGGGGAGTTTTTCTTCAGATTATAAACAGATTGGGCGGGAGAGCTCTTAGGGGTTGTCAATAAATTACGTCACGTTCTCGAAAGGAAAGGAGGGGTTAGTGGTTTTGGAACAACTTATACGGAACTTGTCACTAAAATGTTACGATGTTGTGACAAAGGAGGGAAAGGAGTTAGGGTTTCAAAAGGTCAAAAATTACGTGACGTAGTTTATGGATGACCTTTAATAAAATACAATGAGGAGGAGAGAACAATTAGACGACATTCAACAGAAAGAAAATAACCGACAGTTTGGCATGAAGTTTTAATACCATTGAATTCATAACAATTTTTTTCATGTTTATCAAATATCAGTTATTATCTTTTTCCAAGTATTTCTGAAATTGTAGATATTTCTTTAAATTTTTATTTTTTCCTAATATCCAAATAGTTTACAAAACAAAATTTATTTTTTTATTTGTAACTTTGTTATCAAATAATTAAAACAGGAAAGGTATCGGTTAACAATTAGTAATTGTTAAACAAAAAGCGTGATGTAATTTACTCCAAGCTATATTTAGTTAGAATAGACATTATTTGTCGGCGTTAACGACTAATACTATTTTTTGTACACATATATTTATTGTTAATTATTTTGACTATTTCACCTAAAAATCTAATGCAAATTAGTTTCATAATTTTTTTTTTTTTAATTAAACTAATTTATACCCTATTAAGTTTTTTTTTTTTTAATATATAAAAGAATGCTTTCTAAAGTCTGCACCTACTTCTATTTAGGTCAATCGATGTATGTACACTCCTCGGTGACTACGTTTATAACGTGATTTATTTACTCAATGGTACATTTACAATTCAGTGGTGTTTTAAAGATTAGAAGTATTAATTGAAATAATATTCCTAATGTTTAAATAAAAACAAAATTTCCTGCCCATGCCAAACCCTCAGTCGATGTAGCAACATTTATATATATATATATACATATATATATATATATATATATATATATATATATATATATATATATATATATATATATATATATATATATATATATATATGTATATATATATATATATATATATATATATATATATATGTATATATACATAGATATACATATACATATATGGACATAAATATACAGTGACATAGAAAGGTCAAGAAAGTGATGGCAGGGGCTAGGGCTAAAACAAAAATTTCGGGGCTAAGGCACACAGAATTAGTTTTGAATATATACGTATATATATATATATATATATATATATATATATATATATATATATATATATATATATATATATATATATATATATATATATATATATATATATATATACATATATATATATATATATATATATATATATATATATATATATATATATATATATATATATATATATATATATATATATATATATATATATATATATATATATATATATATATATATATATATATATATAATGATTTGCAACAGCATACTTTATGTGAAAAATCGCCACTAGTTTCAACTGTTACCAGAGTTAGTTCATTTGAAGCAGAAAATGATACGTCTTGAAATTGATCAATTTTAATCAGAAGGAGTCACACTTCCACTGCAGACAAATCAACAACATGCAAAAGAAACTGAACAAGATATACTAAAACCAAAAGAAACTGAAGTTGTAATGATGGCTAAAACTACCATGGAATTCAATACCAAAAAGAAAATTGAAAACATTTTTATCGTCAAGTATTACCGAATCACCTAGTGAAGATAAAAATATAGCCTTAGAAAATGATAAATGAAAAATCAAAACAATGCTAAATGCAATCAGTGCTAATCTTTAATTAAACACAACAAAAAGAATAATCCGTTTAACAAAAAAACAAAAAGAATCTGAAGAACGTATAGGCCTGATCTTAATAGAACTAGACAGCATAGACACTCAAAAGTTAGTAATTAGTAATTTAAAAAAATTAAAAGAAATTGATATCTCACATTAACAATAACAAAGCTAAAATTGAAAGACTATTTTACAATAAATTAAGAAAAATTAGAAACAGAAAAAATGCAACTCATAAAATTCTTAGAAGTAATGGGAGACAACGTTGCAATGAACTCAGCGGAAAAAAAATTTTTTTGGGTGGTCCGTTTAGACGAACTTTAAAAAAAAAAAAAAATCTTAACCTTACTCATTTGATTCAGGCATTTAAACATTACACAAAATAAATTTCAAAAGATTTCACAAATTAAATTTCTTCTTTTCAAATGCAACTTCACTAACTAACAAATGGGATAAATTTCAATTAATACTTAGTAGACAAAACCAACCACATCTAATATGCATAACTGAATCCTTGTTTGATCGAAATTCTGTTATCTTCCTGCCTAACTACCCAGTGGGCATACATTGTGCGGGGGACACAAGACAGTCCCGCGTCACGTGTCCATTGAGTACACCCATTACAATAAAAATCGAACTAGTAAAAAATAGGGCCTAAACTACTTTGCTAAAAACGTTTCTCAAGTCTAAAAATAGCTGGAGATTTCAACTATTAAGATATATCACCGGACATTAACGAAGGATCAAACTGTTCACATATATCTAGCTTAGAATTTCTAGTCATTCTCAGTTCAAATTTCTTAGTATCAGTGCTAGCAACTAACATTGCTACTTAGTATCAGTCCTAGAAAACAATATTGATCTAGTGATTAAAAATGACCCAAACAGTATCTATACAATTAACGTTAATTATCGAATATCTCAGCTAAAAAAGAACTACCTTAATTCAACACCTGAACAACCTTTATTAAAAACTCCCCTGGGGCTTTTACCTAAATGACTCACACACCATACAAAAAATCAAACAATCAAACGCTAACTATTCAAACCAAAATCTACAATAAAAAATGAATTTTTCTACAAAACAACGTTTTCAAGCGAACTAAAAAGTAGAAAAAAATTTTTCTTTGAGCTTGTTAGAATATATGATTATATTCCTCTTATAATGATGACAGATTTTATAACCAATTTGATTCACGTAAAACGAAAAAACGTTGGGCGCATGTTGTGATTTGATAACATTATGACATTATGCAGTATAACATTTGATTTAATGCTTTGTTTGTGTGGATGTATTTATGTTTATCTATTATAATTTAAATATGGTTGGCCATTTTAATGATCAGTATAGATATATTGCACTGATATATGATTAACCAAACCATTAAGTATTGGTTGATCACCAGTCTTTTATCTTATAACATGCGTCCAACGTTTTTCGTTGTATCAAATTTGTTACGTGTATCAAATTTGTTATGAAATCTGTCATCATTATAAGAGAAATATAATCAGATATTTTCTAGTTCGCTTGAAAAACGTTGGTTTTAGAAAAGTTTATTTTTTATTGTAGATTATTTTTTACTGTTTAAATTTGCTTGGTTAGAATCTTTAACACGATTGAAAATATGGAATTACAATGCAATCAAGCTTGTTTTTGTCTAAAAGACACAATTTTCTATACACAATGTAAACGCAATGCATTGAAATTTATTTTTAACACTCACACTTATTTATTTGTTTACTAAATGTTTTTTAAATACGCGTGCTTAATTATTTGAAATATTTTTTGTCCGTTACAAAAATTTATTCTTGAAGTGCTCTCTAAAGTCGCCATTTTTTTTTCCTGCATATAAATTTTTTTTTTCTTGAAATTAAGAAAAATATTATCTGCCTAAAATGGTTTTAAATTGCATTGTCATTGGGTTCTGAGCCATCCTAAAAGTTTCAGAGCTCTAGCTAGTCGGGAAGTGGGTTAAATATAGCCTCAAAGATTCTAACCGGACTGACAAACATACATGAAATCAAGTTTAGATTAACGTTGTAAAATATAGCATTCAACAGCATCAATTGATTTCAACTATTCAATAATCAAGAAATAAATGAAATGATAAACAGTCTACTAAAAATTACAGATAAACAGTTTAGTGAAAGTTTATAAAAATCTAACCATTATTCATATACAAAAAATCTGTATAGTAACGAAATTTAAGAAAATTCAATCAAATGACACAACAATGATATCAAAAACATAGCTAACGAAAAAAAAATTATATTTCCTAATGAAATAAGCTCCAAAATCATCTGACCATAAAAAAAAGTAAAATTATCTCATTAATCAATGTTGAAGGCATAAATTTAAAAAAATACGTAGACATACATAGTTAATTGTCTAAATAAACAATTTACGAACCATTTTCCTCTCAAATCGATCACAACGCGTTCTTTTAGGTAATACGTCATCCACCTGGATAAACGCTACCAATGGCGTTCCGCAAGGTTCAGTTCTAGATCTTATGGTGTTCATAATATTTATTAACCACTTACCAAAATATATTACTAGTGAAAACGTGTGTAAAATGTATGCAGACGATATCAAAATCCTGAGCGTCGTCAAAACCGCTGAAGAAAAAGCTCGTAAGCAATCTGATATGGATAGCATCGTCATCTGGACTCAAACCTGGTTGATGGAGCTTAACTTAAAAAAATGTAAAGCCATGTATTTTAGCAAATATAACACTTCCCCAAACGTTTACTCAATGAACGAGCACGACGCTAACGGCGATGTCACCAGAACTGAACTCGAATCCTTAACCTGCGAGAAGGACCTTGGCTTTCAAATATCCAACAACTTATATGAGAGTCTGAGAAGTATGAGAGTCAAGCAAAAGTTGCCGCTGCCAAGGCTAATAAAGTTCTTGGAATGTTGAAAAAAACACATTCATTAGCAGATATGTCAAAGTATGGAAACAATTTTACACCACCTATATACCCCCACATCTCGAGTTTGAAGTTACTGCCTGGTCCCCTTACCTTGAAAAAGACATAGACATAATAGGACGCTTACAACATCGGGCTACCATAGTACCACACGAATTAAAGCGCTTAGACTAAAAGACGAGATGCATCAAACCTGGCCTCACCTGACGACAGACGTTTACGCGGCGTCCTCGTCCAAAAATATAAAATTGAAAACAATATTGATTCATTCAATTGATATTGTTCCACCTAGCATCCTTTCAAGATACGGCCAGCGCAAGCGCTTTTACTGTGAAATTGATTACAACTTCCTCGTTCGTTTAAAACTTTTCGATAACCGCATTGCTAACCCATGGAATGCAATACCAAACGTATTAGTCAGTGCAATCAGCGTCGACCTCTTCAAAGCAAAATTCAATGATCTGTCATAATTACCACAGTGCATCATCTTCCGTGCAATTTCGCACAAGCTAGCTCGGCTAGCTGTTGATAGGCTTACAGAACACGCCCGTTCTATGTAATTCAACTAATAATAATAGTAATTTAGCAAATCAACTGATCAAGAAAATGAATCAATAAAAAGTTTATCAGCAAGAACAGTTAAAAAGTATTCTTTAAATCCATCTGTTCTATTTCCATTATTAAAATGCTTAAACTAAACTTATTAAATAAAAACAAAGTAGCTGGGATTGATGATGTTTTTCCTTACATTAAAAAAAATGTAATCAGCCGTTCTGGGCTTAGCCTGACACTTATTTTACTATCCCAGGCCCGTAGGAACAAAAATTATATTAGAGAGGGGGAAAGAGTGTTTTATTAAGGGACCCAGAAAGAGTTTTAAGAACCTTTTTTTTATTTTTATTTTTTCAATCAATTTTTTCAAAAATTATTTATTTAAAAAATTATTGGGGGGCAATTGCCTCTACTGCCCCCCCCCGGTTGCTACGGACCTGTATTCATCAAAGCATGCAACACTAGGACTACACTACAGCTATGGAAATAAATAAACATAACACCGGTTTCAAAAACACGTAAAGAAAAAGATCAAACAAATTATCTACCTATCTCATCTATGGAAATAAATAAACATCACACCGGTTCCAAAAAAACGTGAAAAAAAAAATCTAACAAATTATCTACCTATCTTATCAACATCAGATCATCAGCTATAAGTAAAGTAATGCAAAAACTAATAAAAGATGATATAACAAGTTACTTAAACTTAAATAATTAAATAGCTAAAAAAAAAAACAAAGAAAAAAACAAAACAAATTTTTTCACTATAGGTAAATCAGTAATCACAAATTTACTCAAATCATTAGATGTAATAACCTATGCTTTAAAAAGTGGAATTTATGATTTAGTGGTTTATCACAACAATCACCAATAAAGTTTTAGTCAAAACTAGGTACACTAAAACGAACTATAAAGTTCTGGTCGACTGGTCGACTTTAATTCAAATGGTAAACAATTTTAAGTTTTTTACTTTGTTTTTCAAATGTGGATTCCAAACTGGAGCACAAAGTGCTACCAAAGAGCTACAAAGCTTGTACCAGGTCTAAAGCACAACTCAAATAAAAAACGTTTATCATGCTTAAGATTAGAAAGTCTTGAAACCAGAAGAATTAGAGTGGACCTCATTCAATATTATAAAATAAAACTAATTTAAACAAAGTAAACTGGTCCAAACTCAAAAACTTTTTCTTCAACTATAAAAGATCCATCTTCAAATATCAGAGGAGGACCACACAAAGTGTACAGTACACAAAGCCTTTTCTTCAACTCTAAAAGATACAGCTTCAAATATCAGAGGAGGACCACACAAAGTGTACAGTACACAAAGTCTTTTCTTCAACTCTAAAAGATCCAGCTTCAAATATTTCTGTTAAGCACCTACAAATTGCAAACATTAAAATTTTGGAAAGCAACACCTGCGAATTGCAAACATTAAAATTTTGGAAAGCAACACCTACGAATTGCAAACATTAAAATTTTGGAAAGCAACACCTACGAATTGCAAACATTAAAATTTTGGAAAGCAACATCTACGAATTGCAAACATTAAAATTTTGGAAAGGAATGTTATTAATTCAGCAGCAAATTCAACACTAATTGGGGAGACGAACTGTTTTATTAGAGATTCACAATGTACTTACGACTTGTCTGGCGCTTATGTAGCTGCTGATATACCGCTACCTGAAACACGTAATAAAAATATTAAAGATTTCTTGCAAAATTATATACGGCAATAAAAATACCTTCTGAAACCGCTCTTCGCCAAACTCATGTTAAATGTATGAATCTTGGATTAAAACCAATAAAAAATTTGTAATTGTTATTTGTGAATGTCAATTAATGAAAAAACTTATGCTTCTGGTTAGATATATTGTCAATGTTGTAATTGGAGTACTTCATCAAATGTATGAAATCGCCAAGCAAAATTTTTATTGAATTCTGCTGAGCTTGAGAAAGCTAATCATAGAACTATTGCTATGGTTGCACACTTGCCATGAATCTGTGAAGTTTTGTTCAAGGATTAGTTAGAATATGCAAACAAATACGAAGAATATATATATCTAATAACATAATAACATAGACTCAATGTTCAAAGTTTTTGTTTCTATAATTGAAATGTTTTTTTTAATTTACTGTAACAAAATTTTAACTGAAAAAATATATTTTATTACAAAAGTTACTTGTTTTTACAAATATTAGTATTTTCGATGCTTATATTCATGCCAAAATAAGTAATTTTTGATTATATATATATATATATATATATATATATATATATATATATATATATATATATATATATATATATATATATATATATATATATATATAAACTTTCTAGTCGTAAATATGTTAAAAAACGATAAAACTTTATGTACTCCTTTTTTCATTTAATTATTTTAACTGTTTTAACTTTTAGACGGCATTAAAATGTCGCCTAAATGTTGTTGTAAGAAACTTTTTGTTACCATAAAAGTCACTTTGGACCACGATATAAGGATCCGTACAACCCGTACCCAAGATTTTATTTATGCATGAGATAACACTTGCAAACATAGCGCAGCTAAAATATGACGATGCTTGTGTCAAATTAATATTTTTTAAAAAAATTTACGTTGATTAGCACCTGGAAACAAAATACTCCAAGAGGTTTTCACTGAACTTCCTCAAATTTGGGGACAATGAGTTAGAAAAATATTTTATTCAACGAATTTGCACTTAATCTAAATTCGTTGACAGGTTTCAAATATCATTAAACAATCTCTTAATGTTCAAAAGTTGCGACTAAGCAAAAAATAGCAACCCCCCTTTATTTTGGAGAGTGTAAAAACTTCACAAATTATAACTTTGATATAAATTTGGAACGTGTCAATAAATTTTTATTTAGAACTAAAAAGTGAATTAAAACATTCTAATAACTCTTTGTACTACATTTTGTGAGTGAGGTACATTACATTTTGTGAATGAGCCACATTACGTTTTGTGAGTTAGGTACATTACATTTGGTAAGTGAGGTAATAACTTTTTTGTAGTTTTTTATTCCCAAGTTTCGCAACTCATTGAAAAACATTCTCATTTCAAATCATCAAAATATTTAAGTTTAAAGTGTGCGTTATGGTTACAAGTGTCATTTTATGGATAAAAGAATTCTTGGTACGGGTTTGTAACTACAATAATTTGATCATAAGTATAAATTCGATTAAATTTATCGTTTTTATAATATTTTAATTTATTTTATAGGGGAAGAGCGTTTTTCTGAAGAAGTAGGTTATTATTCTCAAACTCCAGTTCATACCGTCATTTATGCTGTATATTCGATTGCTGACTCTCTTGAGCTTTTCATTGACCATCTTTGCAATATTCGTAAGGTTCATATGAAAGACTTTAAAGAGTGTTTTTTAAATGCAAGTGATCGTGATGAATACTCAGAAGCTGTTCGGCAACTTTTAAACTGGTTATCTTATTCAGATGGTACTTTAGATGATTTTAAAACTCCGTTCATAAGAATTAATAGAACGATAAAGTACGATATTCATCAGTTCTTATTCACTGAAGGAAAGTATAGAAATGTGTTGAGAGGAAGTTGGGAATTATATCGACCAAATTTAAGTATATCACCTGAAGAAGTTCTTTATAGTACTCGGCCTAAGTTCACATTTGTAACTGATGATATTCTATCATTAGTTCCTATTATATTATGTAGCGATCCGTGTCCTTTAGGTGAAATCAGAATTAAAGAAACAAGTTTACAAAAGTCGATGTGTTGCTGGAAGTGTCAGAAATGCCAATATAATAGTATTTCCCATAATGATTCGTGTATCCCATGTGGCAAAAAAGAAAAAGTAGAGTCTAATGAATGCAAGACTATACCAGAAATAGAAGCTTCTATGGCTGGTGCATGTGGCAAATTTTTATATATATATATAGTGCTGATATTTGTTGGTCTATGTTTAGTTTTAGGTGTAACAGGTCTATTCATTTATTTTAAAAGTAACCGTATTGTTAGTTGCTCAGAATGGGATTTAAATTGCCTAATTTTAGTCGGTATCAAGATATTGTTTTGCTGCCCTATTGTTTATATGATTCGCCCTTCAATAATATCATGCGTTTTCAGAGAATTGTTGCCTGGTATGGGGTTTTTAATGTGTTATGTACCGTTATTAACTCGAACGCATCAGATATATAAATCATTTGTCTGTGGAAAAACCTCTGTATCTAAGCCTGCATCACATCCAATATTTCAAGCGTTTATTGTGTTTGGCATAGTTTTTCTTCAAATTATGATTTCTATTCTACGTTTTGTTTTGACTTTGCCTAACCCTAATTTTGTTATGTCGCCCAATAAAGATTTTATTATTTTTCAGTGCAACGGTGTGACACACTTGGTGCCGTTTCTGGTAAATTTATTACTAAGTGTTTGTACTATGGGTCTGTGTACTTTTAATGCATTCAGAATTAGACATTTTCCAAAAAACAACAATGAAGCTCGACATATTGGTGTAACAATGTATATTAGTTGTGTTATATGGGGTGTATTCCTATCATCATACTACCCAGAAAAGCAATTTTTTTTGAGTGAGTTATTAATAAGTGCTCTTTGTATATTTCTTGGATATTTAACACTTATCGGTTTATTTATAAATAAGGTCAGATTGTTGCTATGTCCGTTGCCTTCTGACAACAATTTAAACAATCAACAAATGCTTTCACTGCAGACTATATAGTTATTGTTGTTATTTGCGTCTTTATTATTATGGGTATCATTATCATTGTGTCATTATTGCTAGCAGTTTAAACAATTATTTTTTTACATTGTTTAAATAACTGTTATTTACAGTTTAAACAATTTTTTTTCAATTACTATTTACTTTGTGCCTTTTGCTACTGTCTTTTCAAATTGAAAAAAAATTATACCCAAGAACAACCATTCAACGGAGCAGCTTTTGGTCGCGGTTTGGCACAATTGACAAATCATCGTGCCGCTGAAACAAAATTTAAATTTCATTGAACCAACAATATTTACTACTGATAAGTTAATATTTTTCAAAATGTTATTTGCGCCTTCATCTATGTATTATATTGAAAAATATAAGGTGTTATATTGGTATTGTTGTATATAGGTGTTATATTGGTATAAGGTGTTATACTCGTAAGGTTAAGGGTTATATTGGTATAATGTTTTTTAATGGTATAATAAGGTAATAATGGTATTAATATAGTATGGTGATAATGGTATAATAAGGTTAATAATGGTATAATAAAGTAAGGTAAGGTTAATAATGGTATAATAAGGTTATATTGGTGTTATAGAGGTGTTATATTGGTATTCCGCGGTGCTCTGAGATAAGACCGTAAGGACTTCTTGGGGCACCTAAAAAACAAAAAAATTGCGGCCGTGGTGCAGTGGTTAGAGCGCTTGCTTTATAATAGGGGGTCCATAATCATCTTTTTCTAGAATTTTTATAGTTTAACCAGTTTTTTTTAATTAGTTTTTCATGCTGATTCTGAAAATCATAATCATTTTTTTTTTTTCATTTTAATTATTTAGCCTTCTACTTCGATTTTAATAAAAGTTAACATACTGACAAAAAAAGGCATTGTTAAAAATAGATGAAATTATTATAATCATTAAATATAAGAAAAGTAGAAAAGTAGAAATCTTTTTCTGTTTAATTTATCAATAATATACCTTATGATTTATAAGTAACAAAAAAAGTTAAGCATTATATATGAAAATAATTCATACAGTTTGTTATTTACTAATAAAAATGGAAAATAACTATAAAAGTCATCATATACGGTAGAAATTGCTGCGGGAACTTTCCATGTAAAACATCTAGGTTATGAGCGTTTTCTTTGGTAGACATAAGATGGAGGTTTGTATTTTTATATCTACAATCATGTATTTAATCAGAATAGACATCCGCGACAATGACCTACACTGTATCCCTAAAATAATGAACCTCATTTTTCGAACTTTTTATTCATTTTAACATATCTTTATCTACTTCAATAATGTCTAGTTCACAGCTAAATGGGCTGCCCTGTTATCTTAATCAAACTAAAATAGAACTCATCTTGCACACCTGATGTAAAGTTTTCGGCTCTTCCATTGCACTATGCGTTGCTCTTATACAAAATGAGGAAATAGGCATATAAATAAAGAAGGACTTAAAATATCTAACTTATTTTTTCACAAGACATCAAATTTTTATTTATATTTCTATATTTAAAAGAATCATATTCGGTTTTCATAAAAAAACAATTTATTATATTTTTTTTCGGTTAGTCCGGACAAATTTTAGATTTGTCCGGAAAACTACACAAGTCCGGATGATTTTATTCAAAAAAAAGTAGGCGCCTATATTTTATAGAATTTTACAAACTATGTATATGAACACTATTTCAAAATAAACAGTATCATTGAATATAATAAACAACTCTGCTATCATATGATTTAAAAATTCAACGCAGAACAGCTCATCAGTATGATTCTTCATGGTCTTACTTCCTAAAATAGTTAATTGCTTGTTAAAATTGATTAAATTATTTCTTAAATTTTAAAAAAATGAATAAACAAATAAAAAAAAACAAAAAAAAAACGCAACTTTGAATTGTTAGTTGACCAAAATTATGAGATTGCCTAACCAAAAAAAAAATCAATCAAAACTATTAACAATATTAATAATAAAACTATTTTACCTTTATTTTAAGCAGTTATCAGAAGAACTTTCACTTTCACTTTCTTAAACTATTTTGTTTTCACTCTTTTTTTATCCATTTTGTTTTTTTTGCAAAAGAGATGTCATAAACAAATAATTAGCTGTATCCTTAGTGTTTTCTGCAAAAGAGGTTAAACGAGCATGACCAATTCGAGCAGTTTTGTTTTCCTTATTTCTGGCTTCAATAGCACTCTCAGACAAAGAACCTATCGGATACTTAAAATACCTTAAAAAAGAAGTACCATGAACTATCACTCTATGCACAGATTGTGACATAGGTATGGTTTTTAAAAATTTATCATTTGTTATGAGTGCAAATAGATGTTCAGATTTCTGTTTGAAAACCTTTATATCCGGTCTTGTAGTTGTTCTGTTTATATCAATGAGTAAAACTCGAAACAACTTAATTATTCTGATATCCAAGTTTAAAATTCTCCCTGTCACAATCGGGTTATTAAAAAATTTGCGAGCAACATTTCCAGTATTGGTTGTTCCACATCCTTTCCTGACAAAAGAAACCCTTATATTCAGTTGTATCTTGAATAAATGCTGGAATTTTTTTTTTGTTTTCAATAAATTCTTTACTCTTTTGTGATGGAATATTTCTTCCTTGCTTAACAGCTGGGAGTTTACAAACAGTATTGAAAATCTACTCCATACAGCGCATCCATAGATGAAGACTGCAAATTCCAAAGTTTCAAAACATGCTTGCTTAAATTAATATTTTTTTTCCAAATAGTTTTCAAGTTAAACTCCTTAGAATTTGCAAGGCATACATGGCAGGACTGAGATGAAATTCTTTTTTTAAGCATATTTGATACAACAGCGTTTAGTGTTTTGCCATCATTCATTGTGGTATAAATAGTTGACAAACTAGACTTTACTACAAAAGTACTTTCACCAAGTTTAAATTCAATATTCTTCAATAAAAAAATTTCATTTTTCAAATGTTTAAATTTTTCCTGAATAAAACTAGCAGTCTCTTTTGCAAAACAAAAAAGAAGATGACGGGTTGCATCTGGACTATTTGGAATTAAATTTTTCCATATTATTTTTTCTTCACTTCGGATCTCCAGCAGTACAAACACTATACTATACACAGAGCATTCATTCAGAATATTCAACCTGTTCTGGTTATGTCAATTTTTTGTATTGCTTCAACTTGGTTAACCTGGAGGAACAAGATGACGATTATGAGTCACTATATTTTTAAATTCAGTCCATGTTCTATCTGTAAGTTTCAAATTACAAAGAGCTTGCAATGACAAATTTGAACCATATAAAATAGCCCTTCCATCGGTAGAAGAATTAAATTTAAACCTTTTGACAGCATGTTGCAGTTCTTCCACCTCTCGTTCTCTAAGACTATCTGTTCTTTTACGCTTCATCCTGTTTGTAAGCTTAATAAAAGACTTTCTAGGTTTTGGTGTACAAGATGTATTGACTGCAGATGATTTAGGTACTCTACATGGTACACTATAAATAATAAAAAAATACATTGAAACATATATACATTTTGAAGGTTTTGTGAAACATAGTCAAACAATATGTATGTGTGTGTGCAAAATAAAAAGAGAGAGATACATTTATTTATGCATACCTGTTTACATTGGATTGTTTACATAAGTACGAAGCAGTAATTCCCCTTCTTTTATTTTACGCTCACCCTGCTTGATGAGTTGATTACACTGTTTAATCAGATTTTCACCTTTTCTAATTAATAGCAGTTCTTCCTCGTGTGTTCTAATCTCTTTTTCAGAACCTTTTTCTAATCTACACGCACAAGTATAATATATATATATATATATATATATATATATATATATATATATATATATATATATATATATATATATATATATATATATATATATATATATATATATATATATATATATATATATATATATATATACTATAATACAATATTTATTACTTATTTATAATAAATCAATATAGAATATATTATACTCACAAGAGATATTTGCATTGTTGATTTCGATCTAAAAATTGTTTATATTTAGTAAGAAAGAACTTTTTTCTTTTTCCACACTCATGAAATTTTGTTATTAAATTAAAAGCCAGACTTTTGAAAATGTTGAAATTCACAGTGCAATCAGCATAAAGTGATAACACAGTGCAATCAGCATAAGTGCAATCAGCATAATCACAGTGCAATCCGCATAAACCGGTTTTTAATAAATCCACCTCTTTTGAATTGATTTTATAGCATGTTACTACAGAGGTAGCCAGAATATTATTTCACTTAAAAAAAGTCAATTTGTTTGAGAAAATTTTAAAAAAATAAAAAACTGGCTACCTCTGTAGTAACATGGTCTAATCGATCAATCTTTACAGACACCCAAAAACAATGATCCAAACATTTTTTTTTTCTTATCATGGTTTTTAATTTACGAAATGTTTCATTTATTAAAAAATGTGCAAAAAAAATGAAGAAATTTGAAAATTATCTTATGTAATTTAAAGATTTAGTGAAGACATGGGTTTTTTTACCCCTGAAAATCCCGCACCTAAAAAAGCAAATTTAAAAAAATTAAAAAAAAACTTTTTTTTATTAACTAATACTAACTTGTTTCAGTTAAAAAATATTTTAAAATATTAAAATTGAATTTTTTTTTCTGAAAAGTAAGTAAAATCCTATTTCCGCTTCGCGACGCATAGTGCATTGTTATCTTCTTTTTTTTGTAGCTGCTTTCAACTATATTCCATAGTTTCAACTTTTTGGACAAATAATTGGATAATAATTTTCCAAAATATCTTTAAACTACGAGAACCTTCATTTTTTATATGGTTTAAATAATTAATTATACATCTACTGTTAAAATTAAATGTGTTTTTTTTCCAAAGCTTTCTAATTGCAGCAACTTAATTAGAAAGTTAATACTAATTATACTCTATCATCAACCATACTCATAATACTTTTCTTTTTTTTGAAGTCCTGAGGCTAACTTTTGCCAAAATACTCTAGCAAAACTGATACAATTATTCAACCTCTTTGAGGTATACTTAGTAACTGCTTCTAGAGTTTTTTTTTAACTAGCTAATGACTGCGTTTTAGAATAAAAATTTGATCATCCCGGTTTGTTTTTTATAAAGCCTTTTAGGTAGCGGTATTCCTTTAGAGGGTTGCCAGGTTTTTTTTCGGGCACAAGCCAAAAATGAAACAAAAATAAACCAGACCAAAAAAAAAAGAAAATCATAATTTTTTGTTTTAAAGCCTTGTTTATAATATATATTTTGAAAAAATGCTTTTTTATCCAAAAATTTCATCCTTGAATATTAAAATTTAATTTGTAAGAGAGCGAGGGAAGAGGAGAAGACTGACTTAGTGAATGTTCATGGGACGCCCGTCCAGCCTTCAAAGCGGCGTGGGGAAAGTAATTCACTCCCAAACACCTATACAAAATCCGACACTATCAACCTGTAAAATATATTAATTTTTTTCACTTGCATATGAATATAGATTTCTTTTTAAACCTTTGCAATAATTTACTCAATTATTTCAAAGTCGTCCAAGTAAAAAATCTTTTGCCTTATTAAATATGATTTGATCCAAATAACTGCATGCAAGGCTTAGTTTGATGTTTCCTTAGTCTGATTTATATACAAATATTATATATTATATATATATATATATATATATATATATATATATATATATATATATATATATATATATATATATATATATATAATTACAATGCTTTATAAAATATATATATATATATATATATATATATTTATATATATATATATATATATATATATACATATATATATATATATATATATATATATATATATACATATATATATATATATATATATATTATAAAGCATTATAAAAAATTTAGCGTTGCAACAGCATCTAACATCAAATATCCGATACTCAGCGGAATCAAAGCGATAGTAAAAAATTTTATTTTTTCCTTTTAGAGATGTATTTCCAATAGTAAACAACATTTATCAATACAATATATATATATATATATTATATATATATATATATATATATATATATATATATATATATATATATATATATATATATATATATATATATATATATATATATATATATATATATGTATATATATATATATATATATATATATATATATATATATATATATATATATATAATATATATATTATATATATATATATATATATATATATATATATATATATATATATATATATATATATATATATATATATATATATATATATATATATATATATATATATATATATATATACATATACAGACACGCAAAATATCATTACTATTATATAAAAACACAAAGTGAAAGTATTGGTGCAATTTTGATATCTTTTGTTAAAATTCCCTCATTATGCTTTTAACTTAGTTACACTTAATAACTAAACTCGATTTTCTTTTTTTTAAAAATTGTATAGATTAAAGTTTATTGATCATAGAGTATAGAATATAAAAAATTGAAAAATATCTCTAAACGATAAATAACTAAACAAAGTTAATAATATCAATATATTTAACCAAAACAACTAGACATTTTTAATTAACCGAGTAAGCGCATAATATTGTATGCGCCAAGTTGATAATATAAATTTTTCTACTTATGTTTAAGGTAATTAGGACGTCTAATGTAGGTCTTAGCGACATAAATAGGATGTCTAAATTTGGAAGTCCTAATATCGTCTTTATATTAACGTTACTAGGACGCCCTAACAAAGACGTCTTTACCGGACGTCTTTAGGAGGTCCTAATTTGGTCTGAGACGTCGCGACTTAGTTAAGACGTCGGTATAATTTTTTTTTTGGGTGCCACAAGACCCTTTTTTCTTCAACATAATTTTTTTTAATTACAAAATTTTTCTCAATTTTTTTTTTTTTTAAAAAAATAAATACTTTTGAAATTTTTATATAGTTTCGCTTTATTTGAGACCTAAAAATATTTTTAGAAAGCTTATTTTTTGATATTATTATAAACCTGTTTGATGTTTAATTGGTCTTGTAGCATTCCCTGACATTATTTTTTATTCAGAAAATTTTAAATCCATTGTTATTCGATTATATAGAACACAGGAGGTGTCAACTGACATTCAAAAAAAAAGTTCTTTTCAGCACACGCTAATATATATATATATATATATATATATATATATATATATATATATATATATATATATATATACTACATATATATATATATATATATATATATATATATATATATATATATATATATATATATATATATATATATATATATATATATATATATATATATATATAATATATATATATATATATATATATATATATATATATATATATATAGGGTAAGGGCGGGGTGAATTCGTCACGGAGCGAATCCGTATATATATATATATATATATATATATATATATATATATATATATATATATATATATAATATATATATATAAATATATATATATATATATATTTATATATCCGTATATATATATATATATATATATTTATATATCCGTATATATATATATATATATATATATATATATATATATATATATATATATATATATATATATATATATATATATATATATATATATATATATATATATATAGGGTAAGGCGGGGTGAATTAGTCACGGAGCGAATCCGTCACTTATGCGACTCAGCTTTAAAATAATAATGCATAAAAACTAAGAAATCTATTAACTAGGTTTTTTCGAAACTTTTTTAACTGATATTTGTAGAATATTACTAAATAAATGTTTTATATATTTACCTCCGATTACTCTTTAAATATTGCAAATAAACATTGAAGTTGTAAAAATACTTTTCAGCTTAAATGCCTATCGTCAAAAAATTATCAAAATACGCAATGTTTTGACCACAAAGTATATATTTTTTGATTGATTGATGTCAGTAGTTTTTAAATAATAATTTAAGTTACTATGTTTTTGCCTTTGGAATCGTCACGTAATGATTGTTAGCACATGCTCAAATGAAGGGCAACTTTGTCGATGAAGAAAAGTTTATACGAAAAAAAAGTTAGGTTGTTTCATCATGCAAATATTTAAACTACCGAGCGCCGTTTGAAAGAAAAACAAATTGTGATCAAAATGCGCTCCAAAGCTTTAGACATTTATAAGAGAAAGGCTCTTCAGAATATATTAATTTACAGTTAGCTTTTAAAACTTTTTGAAGTTTTAATTATAAACACGACTTTGATGTGAAACATTATTGTAATGTATTATATTATAATGTATAGTCTGAAATATATATACAGTAAATAATAAGTATATAAAACATATATGTTATATATTTTTAGGCTATCCACTGCCTATTTTTATACATATTAAAAATATGTATAAGTATTAAATATTGTTAAAATATTATTGAAATTCAGTAAATATTATTAGAATAGTTAATATTATTTACTAATTTTACATTAAAATAAGACTTTTATTATATATTATATACCAAAGATCTTATTCTATTTTTAAAAATATATATAATATTATACTATTTAGTATAACTATTATATATTGTAAAAAGTAAATAGTAAGTATATAGTATAAAATGTGTGTACAGTATAAAATATCTGTTATAAGTAGTTTTTGTAGTATTTATTATAAACAAATGTATCATTCATTGGAAAATATAAAGCATTTATATATATATATATATATATATATATATATATATATATATATATATATATATATATATATATATATATATATATATATATATATATATATATATATATATAAATATATATATATATATATATATATTTTTTTGTGTATATATATATATATATACATATTGTATATATATATATATATATATATATATATATATATATATATATATATATATATATATATATATATATATAAATATATGTGTATATTTATATATATATATATATATATATATATATATATATATATATATATATATATATATATTTATTAAAATAATTATTATTATATTTATTATTATAGTTATTATTATTAAAATAAATATATATATATATATATATTATATATATATATATATATATATATATATATATATATATATATATATATATATATATATATATATATATATATATATATATATATATATATATATATATTTATTTATATATATATACCAATATAAAAAAAACTAAGAATGTATTATTACTTATGGTAGATTTTAATAACATCATTTTTCATGTTAAAATGTATAGATGGTACGTAATTATAAACCAAAGCGACAAAAAAATTATAATGCAGAAATTTTTCAGGCTGCTTTGCAAACCATTATAGATGGAGAAACTATATCAACTGCAGCAAAACAATTTAATATTCCACGTACAACGTTGATTGATAAATTACGGGGAAAACATCAAACACATTCTATAGGTGGTAAAACAATTTTCTTTAAAAATCAAGAAGAAACTCTTGTTCAAAGGCTGCTTTATATGGCTGATAGAGGGTTTCTTCTCACAATAATGTGGTTAAGATCTGCTGCTTATTTCTATGCCAAAAGCTTGTGTAGTCGTCATTAATTACAGAAGTCCATTCCAAAAAGTTGGCATAATAAATGTTTTGCATCACGTGATTGGTTTCTCTCATTCCGAAAAAGGCATACTCAGTTGACACTAAGAATTCCTGAAGGGCTTTCTCGAGCAAGAGCAGAAGCATTTAATGAGAATCGCGTTCAGACATTTTTTAACGATTTACAACCTTTTTATGAACAGCTTGACATAAAAAATTATCCAAATTTGATTTATAACTGTGATGAAACTGGCCTTTCATCTGTGCCAAATGTCTCTGTTAAGGTAATAGCATTAAAGGGTTCTCATGAGGTACAAAAGTTAACTATTGGTGAACGTGGCACACTAACAACATACCTGGCCACTGTTAATGCAGCAGGAAACAGCTTACCATCATTTTTCATATTTAAGGGAACAAAGATTCCAGATGCATCTAAATTTCCTTTGGGTACAAAAGTGCATTGTAGTCAAAGTGGATATATTGATCAAGAGATTTTTATTGCTTATTTACATCATTTTAATGAGTTTTGTACAAAAGTGAATGGGAAAAAAGTATTGTTATTTTTGGATGGCCACAAAAGTCATGTGACTATTGAAGCGATTGAATTAGCAATAAAGATGGATATTGAAATAATATGCATTCCACCTCATAGTACACATCGCCTTCAACCACTTGACACACATGTTAATAAAGTAGTTAAACATATGTGGTCTGAAGCCTTGTCTAATTACTTAGCTGAAAATGATGATATTTCTTTGCCTCGTTGCAACTTTCACATTATTTTTAACAAAATATGGCCAAATATACTTACAAAAAGAGGATTGATTGTTAATGCGTTTTACCATTGTGGTTTGCATCCCCTAAGAAACCCACTAAAAGATTTCGAATATAAAAAAGCAGAGGTTTTTAATAAAGCAACAATTCACCAGGGAGACTAAAATTTATCTATTTTAAGGACTATTATACCTTCTCCTGAAAAAAAAAGGAAACCTACTGATTCAAAACGCCACATTGCTCTTATTACATCACCAGGTAATGTTAAGCTAATAAAAGAGCCTCCTGCTAAAAAGGCTGCAATAAAAAATGTGGTCAGTGTTAAACAGAAGTCAAAAAAGGATCACGATAAATCAGTTAAAACCAAATCAAAAAAGACTTTTTTTTCAGCTGATTCTGATCACCCAAGTTCTTCAAGTTTTATTCTAAAAAATAACACTGATAAAAACTTTTGTTGTGTTTGTGCAGCTGTTTGGGCAGAAGCAAGTGAAGATTGGCTTAAATGTTTAAATTGCAATCAGTGGGCATGCGAAGGATGTTTTGGAGTTGATACATGTGCAAATTGTGTGCAATGAACATATAAAAGTCTTTTAAATTTTTAAATAGTCATAGTAGTGACATGATTTTTGTTATTTAAATAGTCATAGTAGTGATATGATTTTGTGTTGCTTTAACGTGCTATTTTTTGCGCTAGCGCGGTTACGGTTTTTATTTATGCCAAAATCATTATTTGATATTTTCTTGGAAAAAGTTTAACAATTGATGTCCTTTTAGATGTCCTTTTTGATGTCCTTTTTGATGTCCTTTTACCCTAGGCCACTGCAGTCGAGGAGGCTACTTTAGTTGTGTTTACAACCCTTTCTCAACTCTATAACTCCGAAACACGAACCTTGACGATCAAGGTTCGTGTTTCGGAGTTATAGAGTTGAGAGAAAAACAAGTTGAGCGCAGTACTACCAGGGACGCGGTGGGAATCGAACTCGCAACTTCTAGGTTTACTTCTAGATTAGGGAAATCATCCTACTGTGACCTCAAAAATGTTTTATGTCAAAGTTTTTTTCTCCTAGGTAAGTTGCCTTTACCACTAGAAAGGAATTTCGTCTATCGCCCGAGTCACGAATTTTTAAATTAGTTTAGCTGTACTGACGAATTCGCCCCGTAATTGACGAATTCGCCCCTCAGGACTTGATGATGAAAAAATCAAATTATACGCTAAAGTAACTTTAGAATTCATTTTGATTCAATACATTAACAAAATAGAGACCCTAATTAATAAAAAAAAGTTTTTAAACTAGAAAAGTTCACTTATTTATATGCGAATTCATTTTGTTAAAGTAAAACATGACGAACTCGCCCTTACCCTATATATATTATATATATTATATATATATATATATATATATATATATATATATATATATATATATATATATATATATATATATATATATATATATATAAATATATATATATATATATATATATATATATATATATATATATATATTAATATAATATATATATATATATATATATATATATATATATATATATATATATATATATATATATATATATATATAACCACATTTATAAATGGACAAAAAAATATGATTTTCAAAGTCACATAAATAACATATTATTTAGGCTTTTTTATGGATTTATTATTTTGAATTATTTAAACTATAGTGGTGGAAAAAAAAAATACTTTGGCTGTAGGAAATAGACTCTTTCCCATGCAATATTTTTTTTATTTTGTAATATTCTAAACACAATATATTCTATTTGAGAATATATTGTGTTTAGAAAACATGATCTACAAAGCCCATTGCTATTACAAATGTAAAGACTGTAAATTAAAAAATTAGTTTGATTCGTTTTTAATGAAAATAAACATTTTTCAAAGCCAAATTATACATTTTTTAAGCCAAAAAAAGTGAGATATTTTATTGAGTTTAAGCCCTAAAGTTTGTAAACACAAATCTAAAATTATACTGAGTATAATTTATAGTTCATCACCAAAAAAAAAGTGAAATTATTTCACTGTTGTTAAAATGTTTTTCACTACAATGAAAATCAATTAAAATGTTTTGTGATTTTATATGATGTTTTTATAGTATAATTTCATGAAATAAATAAAAAGTTTATTTAATTTATAACTTCGGTTTTCATGTTTACGGTTATTATGTTTAGTGCAGTGAGTTTTCTTTTAGAGAGAACTTTTTTTGTATATATGCATATTATGAAAGTGACGACGTCTTACATTTCGGCATTTAATCTCACGAAAGTATTAACGTGCATATTTCAATGTCAATCAATGCAATTCCATCTCAAATGTCAAATCTGCTTATTTAAAGGTGAAACAAGAAAAGAAAGAAAAAAGGAATAAATTAAAAAATTATTTTATAAATTTAAAAATTAAAAAAAGTAAATGTAAAACAAGGTTAAAAGATTTAAATAAGTATAGATTATAAAAACAAAAACAAATAAAAACATAACAAAGCTAAAAGAAAAAATGTTTAAAAATAGTAAATAAAAAATGTACGGCAATCAAACAAAACTTTAGAGTCTGAGGTGGCGTGAAATATTGCGCTGTATTTTGGATGTAACATTGTTTCTCTCATCAAGAAACATGGCGTTTAGAGGTAAACTTTATTTTTACTTAGCTATTGATATTTATTGTATAAATAATATTTTTACAGATTCTTGTGTTATTAACCGGTCAAACATTTGCTCTTGGAGAGCAAGAAAGTGGCAATTTTCTAGGAGTATAATTTCAAACCACAACAAAACGTTAAAAATCCATCTAGAAAACTTAGTTCGTCACCAAAAAGAGGGAACTCAAATACTGGCACACTACCTTTCATGGGAATCACAGAATGAGTTCATACGTGAGTGTACTTCATTGGTTCAGTGTGACCTTTTAAAGGAAGTGAGAGAAGCTGGATACTTTACAGTCATTATCGATGGAATCCCCTTACGTTTCACACACTGAACTGATCACTTTTATTCTTCGCTTTGTTCATTTCAGCTTCAACAAAAAAACCTGGGAGGTAAAAGAGCGCTATTTTTGCGTAGAAGACACGGAGAAAAAAAAAGAGTGGATATTGCAAAATTATTTAGTGATGTTTTAATAAAAGTAAGTCTTGACTTGCAGAAATGCCGTGGTTTCGACAACGTGGCCAAGGTTTCGACAACGGCTCAAATAAGGCTGAAATTTACGTTGGAGTACAAGCTTTAATTTTACAGAAAAATCCGTTAGCTCTCTACATTCATTGTGGTGCCCATAGTCTTAATTTAGTTAAAGTACATGCAGTTGAATCTTGTGCTGAGATGAAGACTTTCTTTGGTAATATCAAAGCTCTCTACGTGTTTTTTAGCTGCAGTCCAGCGAGGAGGAAGTTTTTGCAAGAATTGACTGGAATCTCTCTTCACAAGCTTTCTGATACCAGGTGGTCAGCTTGGATTGCCGCTGTTAAGCCAATAGCAAAACGACCACGGGAAAAAATTAGTGCCCTTAATCGTACTATAGAGGATCTTGACCTAACTGCTGACATGCTAAATCAAGCTAAGTCTTTGATAAAGTTTTTTAAATCTTTTGAATCTGTTGTACTTCTGACCTTTTGTTACAAAGTTCTTCAAGTAACAAATGAAGTAAGTCGTTTGTTCTAGTCAACTTCACTAAAAATAGATGACGAAGTTGTTCTAAATTAACAGCTAATAAGCGATCTTGGCCGTACCCAATCATCATGGAATAATATATTGACTGAAGCAAAAGCTGTTGCAGGTCCTCTAGGCTTTGAAATGGAATTTTTGATAAAACGAAAGAATAGAGCGAAACGGTATCACAATGAACTTACAAATGCAGCTTTCTGCTTTGAGAGCCCCGAGCATCAATTTGAGGTAAGCATTTTCAACGTTGCTCTTGATCATTTTATTTATCAAGTTCAGTCAAGATTTGACATAGAAAAGAGTGTTTCTTCAAGGTTCTCATTCATCTGGTTGAAAGACCAAATACCAGATTCTTAAGAGATAAAAGCTCGTGAACTAGCACAGTTCTACGCTAATGATGTCAAAGAAGATAACTTCATACAAGAAATTTTGCATCTTAATCGTTTGAAGGAGTTTTCTTTTTTTATTCCTGGAAACTCATTGAGCCTTCTCAACCAAATACATTCAAAGAGTCTGCAGCCTAATTTTTCATATGTATGCATTTTAATTCGAATTTTTAATATAATGCCAGTATTTGTTGCAAAGGGTGAGCGATCCTTCAGTAAACTTAAATTGATAAAGAATTGCTTTCAGTGGAAAATGAGCATGCTAAGACTTTGTCATATGATAATATAATAACAAACTTCGCCGTTAAAAAAGCAAGAAAAGAGTGTTTTAATATAAGCCGTTTTTTCTTATTTGAATTTCTAAATAATGTCTAACAATGCATTTATGTTGTATTTGCGTTGCTTAGTTGTATATTTTTAAAGACACAATGTTTGAAAATATTGCCGTAAAATGATTTTAACAGGAATAAACCACAATTAAGAAAATTTATTTTAAAACCATATGCACTAAACGCATGATTGCATTTGATAAAGTTTTTTTTTTTAATAATGTATCTTTAAAGAAGCGCCTACTCGACGCTATGCTCCAGGCGCCATAAAACCTCTCGGCGGCCCTGTATACATACATATATACATGAATATATAAATTAGTATATACATGCAATTATGCATACATTTAGGAGTGCACAGAGGGTGGGATATAGGAGTCAGTTTTCGCAGCGTATCTCGTTTAAGAGGCAACATCAAATGACAAAAAAAAATTAGCACCGTATCGAATAAAACATCCAATAAAGAATTTTAAGATATTTATTTTGTTACTTTAATCCATCAAATTATAGAGAGATTTCAAGCTCTGAAACAGCAATGTAGAATAATTTTCTGCATCTGGTATATGCCTGACATCAATTCAGACAAAAAAAAAAAGCAGTCAAAAATTGTTCAGTCAAGTAAAGTTTAAGATCTCGTACTTCTGTATCCAAATTATCTTAGTAAAGACAAAAAAATATTTTTTTCTTTTACTCCCTGTTTCCTAATGATTCTATTTCAGCTTCCAGTTATTCCTAGCGAAGGAGAAACTGCAGTTCTTTTTATTAATTAATATTTGA